AGTTCTTAATAAAGATATAACAGCATATCAGGTACCTGAAGGAACCATTGGTAATCATGTACACCCAGGACCTATTGGAATGGACTTCAAGGTAATTCTTGATTAAAATAAATATAAATACATGTAAATAAATGTTTTTATTTAAGTCTCTAGTCATTTTTGCACTTTCCCACTAATTGGGGACACTTTTCACTCACACACACTACCACTACATTCAGTGTTCTATGCACACAACACTCAACTCACATGTTGATTTTTACAGAGGGAGGAAACTGGAGACCCCAGAGAAAACCCTCATAGCATAGGAGAGAACAACACATCAAACAAACTCAATTCACATGTGGCGACCTCAAGGCTTGAACCAGCGACCCGACCCGTTGGACTCATAGCGGTGAAAGACGACTCGCTAGGTAGGCCACCATGCTACACATACACTACACAATCTAATAAACTATGCAATTGGCTTAACTATATAAATCGTATTAAGGTGTTTTTTGCTTGGACAGTTATTAAAGACCTTGGAATTTTTTTCTTAGAAACATTTGCTTGGCAAAACACATTCACAACTTTTATATTAATACCCACTTGGCTGAAACCTTCATGTTGCACAGATGACGGCAAACACAAAATATTTTTAGTCAACTGGCCCTGGGAAAGCAATAATGTAATTGTTTGTAATAATTCTTTTCTTTCCTGGGAGTGTCTGAACTCAGATTGTTTTGTACTTGATCACTCAACCAGAATATTGAAATATTGAATATTGCTCTTTACTCCGATGAAGGACTAGTGTCCAAAACGTCAGTACGGTGTAAAATTTACCCATTTATCATTACTGTTTTATTAGAAACACGGACGCAGCTCACACTAGTTTTTAGCTAGTTATCTCTTCAGAATATTGAAAGTTGGATATTGTAGCACTCACAAGCAATAGGAACATGAGATTTATAAGAGATATGTTCTTTGTACATGTAGGTCAACATTCCTATAGTGGTCACTCAACTTGGTGTATTTGACAGCAATTCTGATGGCTTTAAACATGGTTTGGTTGTAAGACTGTATGACCATGCATCTAAGGTATGTACCTGGATTCTCATTAATATTCTGTTTCGCTGCAAATGTAGATTTCCCTGCTTTCTGATTGGTTGGAAGCTGTGGTATATAAGAGGACATATCAATGAATCATGAATCACTTGCACATGGAGCCAGCGCACACTTGAAACTGTTTTTCTTTTAAACTTTTTTCGGCTTCACCTCATGATTACATAACATTTTGACCAACTGTCGACGTCATATTGTGTTGAATAAGAGGACATACCACGCTAAAGTGATCTACAGCCAGCAAAAAGACTTGCAGATGGAATGACTTGCAGCAAAAGAGTAAATATGTTAATTCATAAATTAAAAAATTCAATGTTTCTGAATCCTTTTCAATTGAGAGGTTAAACCTGCTTGGTCCTTCTTTCCTTGCTGTGAAAAAAAAGTGATGAACTTTGACCTTGACCTTGCAGGTTGAGGTAGTCAATGTCAGTTTTACTCCAGATGATCCGGGGCAGCTCATTGGTGGCTATAGATTCAAGCTTGTTGATCAGTATATTCTACCAAAGGTATGTTTCTGTATGTTTAGGGCGCTGTGTGGTAAAACTTTGGCCTTACAACACTGTGAGTCCTATGGGAGGGGTCGCTGCTTTGAGTCCTGTGGACGCCACCTGTGAATAGAGGCTTTGCACCATCACGTGATGGCAGCCATGACAGTAGGCAAAACAATAAAGTCTATTAACTGGATTCTTTCTCATGTAAATCAGATTAGACCAGATTCAATATTGTTCCTGCCTCCTGTCATGGCTGCCATCACATGATGCTGTAAAGCCTATATAGAGTTTGTTTGATGTGCTGTTTTCTATCCTTTGCCACGAGGATTTTTCTCTGGTTTTAAATTTTCAAAATTCAGCTTTTATGGACTTCTTTCCCTTCATATGCAAATTGCCCATTTCAGATCACATGACATTCCCTTGAAAATTGTTCTTTTATGACGAACATGTTAGAAAAGAATCAAATGAAAAAATCAACTCCCAAGAGTGGCATCACATGGTCTGTAATGTGAATAACAAATGAAGATAAAGAGGTCTATTGTTGCTGACATGAGCAATCAGTTGTTCAATACTTTATTTTATAGTTCTGTTCAGTGGATTTTCCAAACATGGCAAAACTATACTTTTTATCATGTGCGGCAACTTCAACCTTTTTTGTATTGTTATATTTATAAAAATGACAAATAATAATAAAAAATGTTAAAAAAAAAAACAAAAAAAACTTCAACCTCAGCCTAGAACTATTATTCGTGGTCAATGCACGGAACCGTAAAATGGAATATTAAAATGGGTAAGATTAAACATTTAAAAAAATAATTACAGACATTTTCCCCTCCTTCTTATAAGCTCCATGATAATGACCCCACCCAAAAACTATTACAAAATTGTCTGAAGCTTTTAACCAGGAATTTGTGGTACTGTTCATTATTCTTATAAACTATCCATTAAAGCAATTCATTGCTATCTTATGTATTGTTTTTCTTAGGGATTTGAAGCATCAGTTGTAGCAGAAAACTTTAGCAGCTTTGACCCAAGCCATGATAAACCTGTGGAACATAGCGCTATTGATAATGGTGGTGGTCTGATAACCTTTAACAGGGTAAGCATTAAACTTTCAGGCAGGAGGTTGTGGTTCGGGTCTTAGCCAGACCAACACTCAGGGTCTTAAAATAATTGAAGGATAAGGTGCTGCCTTTGTAATAACAACTACAAATGATTAGACCTTCACGTGGCTGAGATGACTACCTGGAGCAGCTAGGATGGTCCCGTCTTTCCACACTAACTTACCATAGCCCGGCATGCACAATCACTGAGGATGTAAAGAAACCCTGGCAGTGACCACCCTCAGTGTCTGTCCTTTACTAATGATTTTTGAATGGGTTGATTGTGGGATGGGTATGACAATTTTTAAGGGGGTTGCAACAGAATGTTTCTTCACTATAGTGATTTTTAAGAAGGTCCTGTAAAACCAATAATGTGTAACAAAATTAAGTTATAAAAAATTCGAACACAAAATACAAATTGATGAATGCATTATTATGTAAAAAAGCTAAGATGTTTGTATAATATTGTTAGGTCAGCAGGTTTGGTATGGTTCAAGGTGTTTTTCCTGATATTGAAGAGTCTGCCCTTGAAGACCAACATTATTATACAGCTGGGACGTTTGTTTACCGTGCATATGGTACAGTATAACATAATGTATGGGCATATTTATGGGTGGTGTAGTGGTTTACTGCTCGCTTCTCACTGGCTGTGGTCCAGTATCGAGCCCTGGCTCAGAATGGATCATATGTGTGAGTTGAGTTTGTTTGATGTGTTGTTCTCTCCTCTCAAATCAACATGTGAGTTGAGTGTTGTATGTTGTAAATATTGAAAGTAGCTGTAGTGTGTGTGTGAAGGGAACCTCACGGGAGAAAACAACTTTTTGAAATTAACCAAACTAACCAGACCAGACCAGAACAGACCCACCCCTCCAAGAAAATTTAAATTTTGTCAGGCCCGAATCTCATCCACCTCTGACGTAGCCTCCTATGCAGATGTTCTTCAGACACTAACGTCTGTGTAGGAGATTGATTGATTGATTGATTGAAGACTTTATTTAATGAGGGTGACGCGTGACAGTAATTTTGGTAAATGATTAACGTGTGGCCCTCTAGTGTTTAGCACAGGCACTGAAGATGGTCGTCACCAGCGTCTTCAGTGGAGGCTTTTACTACCGCCTTATACAGGGTTATATAGTGAAAACAGACGGGGCCTACGGTTTTTTTGTCCGAGAAGACAATGAGACCAAATATTTTTGACAATTATTTCTTTTTGATTCAGTTTTCAATTCTGAAGAGTTTTTGGAAGAGAATCAAAGCAAAAAGCAGCAAGAGGCAAAAGCAAGGGAAGAAGAAAGATCAGAAATTGTAAGAAGAGAAGAAGAACAACTACAAAAAGAGAWCCTTGAACATGGAGATTTACTCGTGGTTGATGCTGTGGAGGTGTACAGAAACCTACCACGCAAGATGCTGCTATTTTACAAATGGTGAGAGAAAAAGCACTAAAAGGGGGGGGGGGGGGGGGGGGGTCTTAATAAAGTTTAAAAAACAATCTGAAAAAAAGAGTAACAGAGTATACAGGGCTAAAAATAATGGCTGGACATTGGACAATGAACAGTCAGAATTTGGCTGGAATTTGTCTGGTCAAATATTTGCCTTCCTGGTAGTTTTGACCAGTAACATTGAGCCAAAAACTAGGTATGACTGAGTTGTAACTTTGGCAAGTCATAATGACCAGCGACTGACCAGCCCTTATTATCAGTCCTGGTATACATTGTGTGCAATCACATGACATAAAATATAAAGATATAAAGAACAATCAAACAACCACCATGTTGGTTGATTTTACAAGAGAAGCTAATGAGGAATGCTTTGTTATTGTCAACCAAGATGGCGGCAATGACGTAAGATGCACGTGCGCATGCGTCAAAAAATCAATTATGYCAGAGCTCTTGTTCTTCACCGCAGGAAAGAAGAAACGCAGGCTCTGRGTACGAGATTGGTTTCCTTGCCCAMTCTAATTTGCAGCYGCACAAGTTGCTTCATATACTKCGAGGATCAGCTCAATTTGATACATCCTAATCACGTGACCAAATTAGTTAACTTGTTATGTTTGTGACAGGGCTTCAGAAAATGTTAATTTCAACTTCATTTTAAAAACTGATGACGACTGCTTCCTCAACGTAGATTCCATCCTCAATGTAAGTTGCACCAGCAGCAAGCAGTAGAAGCAGTAACAGAAGCAGTAATAGCAGCAGCAAAAGTAGCAGTAGCAGTAGCAGCAGCAGCCGCAGCAACAGTAGCAGTAGCAGTAGTATTAGCAGTGGTAAGAGCAGTAGAAGCAGTAGCAGTAGCAGCAGCAGTAATATGCAGCAACAGTAGCAGCAGCAGTAATATGCAGCAACAGTAGCAGCAGCAGTAATATGCAGCAACAGTAGCAGCAGCAGTAGCAGCAGTAAGCAGAATATGAAATTGCACAATCTACATTTCACCTTCCAAAATTTCGTAAAAGTATGACTTATAGTGACGAGTACCACCATGTTCAAGACTGTTTGTCATCCAACCACTCTGTCTATAAGCATAGCAAGGTGTTTCAGTCAGCCAATTTAATTTCAGTCATAACTAATGTGAGGCGTTGTTTTTGTCCAGGATCTGAAGGCCTATGGACTACACGACAAATCAAAACTCTGGTGGAGTGGGTAAGAATATTGTGTTCTTTTTCTGGGTCTTTCTTAGTGTAGCAAGCTTTATTGTACTCTGGGTTAGGGTTAGGGTTTTTATTTTTCCGGGTATTTTTTAGCTCCAAATTCCATTCCTTATATATTTCCCGTCCTCTTCGTTTTGTTTTGCCCCCTGGCAAGATGGCCGCCATATCGTCGAATTACAGTCTGTAGTATAGGAAATCACACGATTACAACTCGGAATTTATAGGTACGAGTGATGTTTTGAAAGTTTTCAAAATTGGACGAACCCTTACGAGTATCTATAAATTCTGAATTGTACGAGAAGATTGTACGATTTTTTGTTTATAATACACTCAACAAAACTTAGCAACTTAATTGGGAATCTACAGAGTACAAATTGAGATTTAATTGTACTGCTCTTGTCCAATCAGAATCGAGTGATTTTGTCGAGTGTATTAAAAAGTCCATTAATCAAGGTCTGTACTCTTAGTATATGAAAGATGGTATTCTATCAGATGAAAGCTTTATTTTAACACGATAATGCTTAGATTGAATTCTCCATTACTATACACCGAATCAAAACATGGCCACCAATTTGAATGACTATTGTTCTTCACTGACTAACCTCGTGTTCATGTGGAAACAAGTAGCCTGCGTCACATCCGGAATTTTCTTCGTAAAATTCCGGACGTGACGCAGGCTAGGAAACAAGCGTTTTCACATGAATGAGAGGCTGGTCAATCCAGAACAATATTTATTCAAATTGGTCGCCATATTTTTATGATATGATGATAATGTATGATAAACCATATTCTTTCTATTTTTAGATTCCGTCTTGATTGGCCAGYGGAACGATACGGTAAATGGCGGGAACCAGATTACAGTGCAAGTGTGTATCCAGCGTTTGCTTGCGGTGCTGGATACATGCTGTCTGCTGACCTAGTAAAATGGCTGGCTCAAAATTCCAAGGCCTTGAAGCCTTACCAGGTATGAGAAGAMTCTGGAGGAGGTGTAGACTTCATATCAAAGAAATAGAAGTAAAAATGCATCCAAGACCAACACTCTGTCAGCTGTGCAAACTGATCAGTCTATTTAAAACTGTGATTCCGATTGGTAGCCAGCCAATCAGCGCACGCGTTATATTTCGAATGCCCTATGAAATTCAGTASAGCSCATGCAGTAAAACCATGAAATAAAAACAAAGTTKATACTGACAAATAKTAGYTAYTTAGTGACTAATAGTTGCTATYACTCAACCAGAACATTCATCATACAMAGACAAATACACAAKAGACCATTTGTGTCTTTTGTTTAGTAAATGTCCTGGTTGAGTGCTAGCATAGATAAGACAAGATAAAAGACATTTYTTCCGGTAACAGCAACAAAGCGGCTGGCCGYCTTTTTGGATTATCGCTGGAGGTGATTATCGTGTGATARTGCAAGTTTCTCGACCAATCAGCGCGCGAGATTTTCAATAATCACCTGTGTATTTTTACTAATTGTCAGTATCAACTTTGTTTTTATTTCATGGTTTT